GAAATGTGAAAGAATAAGTTCTCTTGTGTTTTAGTCAACCAGTTTATAGTACCTTGTTACAAAAGGCCTAGGGAATGAATACAGTCTGCTTCCACAGACCCATTTTCAAATCACTCAACCAAAGTCTAAATCCTATAATATGTATTTTCTAACAACCTCTACTGTGATACCCCACAGCTCCCTATGTCATGTGTTTTCCCTCACTACACTAAATAATAAACCCAAATTGTTTAACTTTAAAAAAAGAAATGAAGAATACATGAGCTAAAATGAAGAATACATTGCAGGGAATCAACAGTAAAGTAGATGAAGCAAAGGATCAAGTAAGAGACTGGGAAGATAAGTAAGCAGAAAACAACCAACCAGAACAGCAAAAAAGAATAAAAAGAAATAAGGATAGAATAAAGAGCCTCTGGGATAACTTCAAGCATACCAACATTTGCATCATTGGGGTACCAGAAGAATTGGAGAGTGAGGAATTGAAAATCCATGTGGAAATAATGACAGAAAACTTCCCTAACCTGGTGAAGAAAATAGACATACAAGTCCAGAAAGCAGATGTTGTAGAAGACAGAAGAAACCCAAGCGACGCTTACAGAAATGGAGTTACACAGCTTTATTATGCCGACGGTCTCAGTGGAGTCACCTCCAAAATCTGAGCAAACCAATATGGTGGAAGCCCCTCTTTTATCCCCTTTTGGTGTCTTTGTCCCCCAGATATAGAATGGGACTTCCGGACCTTTCACGGGCTTTGCAAAAACCCCATGTGCTAGAATGGGGGCAGTGAAACCATACCTATGGGCCTGGCCTGGCGTCAGCACTGATAACCCCCTCCAGGGGTTGTGTATTGTTCAGTTTATGGCCTCAGCTCTTGCAAGACCAGATTTTGGGAAAGGGGCAGTGACTTAATTATAAGCTATCAAGAATGTACATTAGGTTACTGGCACAAATTCAGATTACTAGCCCCCTCCACCCCCGCAAATGTCTTATTTTCCCCATCACAGAGAGTCTCAAACAAGATAAATCCAAAGATGTCTACACCAAGACACATTATATTTAAAATGCAAAAGGTTAAAGACAAAAAGAGAATCTTAAAAGCAGCAAAAGAAAAACAGTTAGTTACTTACAAGGGAGCTCCCATAAGACTGTCAACTGATTTCTCAACAGAAACTTTGAAGGCCAGAAGGGACTGGCAAAAAAATATTCAAAGTGATGAAAACCAAGGACCTACAATCAAGATTATTCTACCCAGGAAAGGTATAATTTAGAATTGAAGCACATATAAAGAACTTCTCAGACGAAAAAAAAAAAAAAAAAAAAGCTAAAGGAGTTTACTACCACCAAACCAATATTACATGAAATGTTAGAGTCTTCTTTAAGAAGGAAAATAAGCAGAACCTAGAAACAGAACCTAGCGAGAGAACCTGGCTGAAGAACCTAGAGACAGAACCTAGAAACAGAACCTAGCGAGAGAACCTAGGGAGAGAACATGGCAAAAGATCCTGGACAGAACCTGGCTACAGATCTTGGCTGGAGAACCTAGACAGAACATGGCAGGAGAACCTGGATAGAACCTGGCTGGAGAACCTGGCGACCAGAACCTGGCTACAGAACTTGGCTGGAGAACCTAGCAAGAGAACATGGCAAGAGAACCTAACCAGAACTTCGCTGGAGATCCTGGCTAGGCTGCTGGCTAGGCTGCTGATCAACTGAAGGCTGTCATCGCCGACCACACCTTTGGGGATCCCTGGACCCGCTGGGGTTGGACCCCAGCAATTTACAGTGACTATGACTTTAAAATATCATTCTGGGGAATGTTAATGAAAGTGTGATGGGGGCATGGAGACTACTTACAGGACCAGACTGCCTTATCTAATGTTGGCTAGAACATGAAGAGTCTCAGGGCAGATTCAATGTCATAGCCATAAGAGGAATGTTACAAGTGATGTGCTTACACCAGCTGTCCTGGTTCTCCCTTAAGTGCACCCCTCCCTCAGTTCAAGTATAACCATGAGCGTCCCCAGCACCCCAGGTGGGCAAGAATGTGTAGGGTACAGTCCACTGGGGAACGTCTACCTTTCTGCTGGCCCTGCTTCCAAATGGGGAAGTGGGGGTCAGGGAAGGCATCTATACAAGCTGTTCACTTTCCCTGACTTCATTACTTCATGGGAAGTCATTCTCTAGAAGTACACTGGGGCTCTGTTCTGCACTTTTAAACACTTGACCTCACAAATTCTCCACCGAGCAGATATGAAAACTAAGCCAGAAGTTTAGCTGGTCTCCTGAATCATACTGAAATCACGGAAGAACCTGGACTAGTGCTGTACATTTCCTTTTCTTTGTTTTTAACAAGATTGTATCTGATATCCAAAGTAATGCATGTGCATTGTAGAGACAGAAAATGTACAGAGAATAAAATAATAAAATAACAATCACCCAGAAAAAAAAAAAAGAAAAAAAAAGAAGGAAAATAAGCAAAAATATGAATAATAAAATGGCAATAAGTATGTGTCTATCAACAGTTGAACCTAAAAAACAAAATAAATGAACAAGCATAACAGAAACGGATTCATAGATACAGAGAACCTTTTGATGGCTGCCAGATGGGAGGGGATTGAGGGGGATGAGTGAAAAAGGTTAATGTAATTGAAAAGTAAAAAAATTATACCACAAAAACCCTCAAAGAGCCACAGCAATCTTGCCAAAGAAAAGCAAAGTTGGAGATATCACACTACCTGATATTAAACTATACTACAAGGCCATAGTAATAAAAAAAGCATGGTACTGGCATAAAAGCACACATAAATTAATGGAACAGTATAGAGAGCCCATGCTTATATGGTCAATTAGTCTATGACAGCCGAAACCGGTTTGGCTCAGTGGATAGAGCGTCGGCCTGCGGACTGAAAGGTCCCAGGTTCGATTCCGGTCAAGGGCATGTACCTGGGTTGTGGGCACATCCCCAGTAGGAGATGTGCAGGAGGCAGCTGATCGATGTTTCTCTCTCATCGATGTTTCTAACTCTCTATCTCTCTCCCTTCCTCTATGTAAAAAATCAATAAAATATATTAAAAAAATTAATCTATGACAAGGAAAGCAAGACTACACAGTGGGGCAAAGACAGTTTATTCAATAAATGATGTTGGGGACAGATACATGCAAAAAAATGAAACTAGACCATCTTCTTATACCATATACAAAAATAAAATACAAATGAATTAAAGGCTTAAATAAGAGACTGAAACCATAAACCTCCTAGAAGAAAACATGAGTAGACTCTCTGACATCGCTCTTACTCATATAAAAAAAAAATCAAATCTCCCTGGACAAGAGAAATAGAAGAAAAAAATAAATGTGCCATGTCAACTAAAAGTTTTTTGCACAGCAAAGGAAACCATCAACAAAACAGAAAGACAACCTACCAACCAGAAGATGATATTAGTCAATGATAATCCACTACGGGGTTAATATGCAAAATTTATAAAGAACTCTTTCAATTTAACACCAAAAAAGCAAACAATTCAATTAAAAAATAGGCAGAGAACCTGAAAAGACACTTGTCCAAAGAGGAGGTACAGATGGCCAAAAGACATATGAAAAGATGGTTAACGTCACTAATCATCAGGGAAATGTAAATTAAAACCACAATGAGATACCACTTCACACCTGTCAAAATGGTTAGCATCAATAAATCAACAAAGTGCTGGCAAGGATGTGGAGAAAGTGAACCCTCATGCACTGTTGGTGGGAATGCAAATTGCTGCAGTCACTATGGAAAACAGTATGGAGATTCCTCAAAAAAATTAAAAATAAAACTACCTATGACCCAGCAATTTCACTTCTGGGTATTCATCTGAAGAAATTCAAAACACTAACTTGAAAAGATGTATGCATCCCTATGTTCACTGCAGCCCTATTTACAATAGCCAGGCTATGGAAGCAGCCCAAATGCCTATCAATGAACAACTGGATAAAGGTGTGTACATATATACAAAGAAATGTTACATGGCCATAAAAACTGAAATCTTACAATTTGCAGCAACGTGGAAGGATCTAGAGGATATTTTGCTGAGTGAAATAAGCCAGTCAGAGAAAGACAAATGTCATATGATTTCACTTAGATGTGGAATCTAAAAAACAAAATACAGTGCAACTTTGGTTCTCAAACTTAATTTGTTCTGGAAGGCTGTTTGAGAAGTGATTTGTTTGAAAAACTGAATCATCCCCCCCACCCCTTATAAATTATGTAAATTAATTCTTTCCAGACCCAGCCCCGCAAACGATTTCCGTATTGTTTAGTCTATAAACAAACACTTCTTAAATTTATGGAACCACCCCCTACTATCCTTAAATGAATCACTTTCAGCACTCAGGGGTGTTTGTTTTTCAGGAGTTCAGTATATGGCATCTTCAATTGTTCACATATTGTTGCCTCCGAAATGCTGCCTGCCAACTGCATTTGGTTTATCCCAATCAACAACAGTCTTTCTACCTCTTCAATTGCCTGTGACCATTTTTTCACACCTTTAGCAACATTAGCACTCTTGGTGGCCTCTTTGTTTTAAAATTGTGCTAATTATCCATTTTGCCAGCAACAAAAGCAAAAAACCCACAAGAATATCCACAGCATGATTTCTTGAGATGTAGACAACTGATTTACATTATCTCCTTTGTTTATGGCCTGAGAGACCTTTTTGTCATGTTGATGTATCAGCAGGAAAGGGCTGTCAGGTTGAGAACTGAAGATTTTATTCAACAACTGAGACATTATTTCCATGAACAACTTGGTTGAGAATTGAATTGTTTGAGATGAGAGATGTTCAAGAACTGAAGTTTAACTGTAAATTGAATCTGTTCCAGAACCCCAAATGATTTCGTTTTAAACTTTCTTACATACGGTACACGTCTAATGTACTATTTGTAAGCAAATACTTTAAAAAACAAAAAGGAAAGGAAGTGTAGAGTAAAAAATGAAAATTTAGGTACACACTAGAACTTACCTTGAATGCTGAGAGCTACTGATGACTGAATATGGAGGAGGGTGTTGTTGTTGGAAGAGGAGTTCCCTTCCATAAACACGTCAGGGAGCTATTCTTCTGGGGTTCTTTCTCTTTCGTCTCTTTGCTCCACTAGAACTTGCTTCAGGCTCACTAGGCCTCTGTCTCACTAAAAACCTACCCAATGATTGTTTTTGCCTGCGTTTTAACATTTGCCTGAAGTGAAACACTGCATTGTCATTGAACAAGTTTATTGCTCGGTGTGCTACTTCTTTGTCAGGGTGATATTTCTCAATGAAACTTTGCATTTCTCCCCATTTCCCAAGCATTCCCTTGATAAGTGAAGTAGGAATATCCTCCCTTCCCTCCTCTGAAGAGTGCTCCTCAGCTGCTGGCTGTTGCTGCTCCTTCTGAAGGTCTTGGAGCTCCTCAGTGGTCAGCTCAGTGTTGTGGTCCTCCACCAACTCCTCCACATCATCATCATCCACCTCCAAGCCCATGGACTTGCCCAGAGACACAATGTCCTCCACAACAGACACAGGCTTGTCCTCACAGCCCTCACAGGCTCTGTCGGCAACAGACTCGGGCCACAGTTTCTTCCAGGCCGACTGCAGGGTCCTGGAACACACTCCCCCCCACGCTTCATCTATGAGCCTCAAGCAAGTGAGGATATTAAAATGTTCCTTCCAGAACTCCCGGAGGGTTAAATTAGTTTCAGAGGTCACCTCAAAACACCTCTGGAACAGTGCTTTGGTGTAGAGTTTCTTAAAGTTAGAAATGACCTGCTGGTCCATGGGCTGGATGAGCGGAGTTATGTTAGGTGGCAAGAACCTCACAGTGATGAAGCTGTGCTCCTCCATCAGCTCGGCCTCCAAGCCTGGAGGGTGGGCAGGAGCCTTGTCCATGACAAGAAGTGCCCTGAGTGGCAACTGTTTTTCCCAGAGGTATTTCTTCACACTTGGGGCAAACACTTCATGAATCCACTCAATAAAAAATTGCCTGGTTACCCACGCTTTGCTGTTAGCCCTCCACATCACATTCCACTTGTTTTTCATGACATTATTTTTCCCGAAAACTCGTACGTTTTCAGAATGGTAGACGAGTAGAGGCTTCAATTTGAAGTCCCCACTCGCATTGCCACACAATAGTAACGTCAGCCGGTCCTTCACTGGCTTTTGTCCTGGCAATGACTTCTCCTCCTGTGTGATGTAGGTCCTCTTTGGCATTTTCTTCCAGAAGAGCCCTGTCTCATCACAATTGAACACTTGTTGGGGAACAAATCCCTCAGCCTCGATGAATTCTTGAAATTCTGTCACAAAATTATCAGCAGCTACTTTGTTAGTACTGTCAGACTCCCCATGCCTCACTACATGAATACCACTTCTTTTCTTAAATTTATCGAACCACCCCCTACTAGCCTTAAACGAACCATTTTGAGCACTCATTTCAGGGCTGTCTTTCAGGAGGTCAGTATGCAGCATCTTTGCTTTTTCACATATCATTGCCTCTGAAATGCTATCACCGGCTAACTGTTTCTCATTTATCCAAATCAACAACAATTTTTCTACCTCTTCAATGGCCTGTGATCGTTGTTTTGTGAGCACTGTCACACCCTTAGCAACATCAGCTTTCTTGATGGCCTCTTTATGTTTTAAAATTGTGCTAATTGTCGATTTTGCCATGCCATACTTGGTAGCCAGATCAGACACACGAACACCTTTATCATAATTTGCAATTATTTCTTTTTTAAGCTCTATCGTTGTTCTCACAACTTTCCTTTTCACTTTGGTATCACTAACTTTCTTAGGACCCATGATGACTTACTGTACGCATTTAATAATTAGCAGCAAAAAGGCAAAACACAAAAACATTCAGAGCACAATTTCCCGAGATGTTAACAGCATGAGGTTTAGCGGTAAACTGACTCATACTTGCTCATTCTCTCCTTTGTCACCTGAGAGATGCATGACTGATCATACAGGGATCAGCATGAAAGGGCTGTTGAGTTGAGAACTGAAGTTTTGTTCAACACCTGAGACATTTTTCTGTGAACAACTTGGTCGAACCCGAACTGTTTGAGATGGGAGACCTTGGAGAACCGAGGTTTGACTGTAAACGAACAAAAACAGAAAGACTCACATATAGAACAAACTGATGGTTGCCAGATGGGAGGAGGGTTGGAGGATGGGAAAAACTGGCCCTGACCGGTTTGGCTTGGTGGATAGAGTGTCGGCCTGGAGACTGCAGGGTCCCAGGTTCAATTCCGGTCAAGGGCACGTACCTTGGTTTCGGGCACATTCCCAGTAGGAGGTGTGCAGGAGGCAGCTAATTGATGTTTCCAACTCTATCCCTCTCCCTAAAAAATAAATAAAATATATTAAAATAAATAAATAAAAAGTACAAACTGGCAGTTACCGAATAGCCACAGGTATGTAAAGAACAGCACAGGGAATATACTCAGTAATATTGTAATAACTATATATGGTGCAAGGTGGGTATTAGACTTATTGGGTAACTTCATAAGTTATATAAACGTCTGACCACTAATTGTACCTGAAGCTAATATAATATTGAATGTTAACTGTAATTGGAAAAAAGAGTGACCCTTTTTTTATTTTATTGATTTCAGAGAGGGAGATAAGAAACATTAATGATTAGAGAATCACTGATTGGCTGCCTCCTACACCCTCCCTCCCCGCACTGGAGATCAAGCCCACAACCCGAGCATGTGCCCTTGATTGTAATCGAACCCAAGACCCTTCAGTCTGCAGGCTGACGCTCTATCCACTGAACCAGCCCAGCCAGGGCAAAAGTGATCCTTTTAAACTATTAAGCCATCTTTCCTTGCTAAAACTTTCCAATGGCCTCTCAGCGAACAATTTCCTTATGATTGGCCACACTGACTACTCTACACCTTGCTCACTCTGTTTCACTCATACTGGCTTTCAGACTCTGGAATCCCTTGGGCAGGCTCCCACTTCAGGACCTTTGTCCTCCGTTCCCTCTGCTCAGGTCCTCCCCAGATATCTACACGGTAGATCCCTCACCTTCTTTTTTCAATGTCTCTCTCATTTTGGGTTCCTTCAAAGCAAACCCAGAGATGAATAATTTGGTGCAGGTAGTTTACCTGGAAGATTATCCCAGAAATTATAGTGAGGGAGTGGGGAGTGAAACAGGGGAGGGAACTGTATAAAGGGCATGTGCAGCCCTGGCCAGTGGGTCAGTGGTTAGGCCATCAGCCCACACACTGAAGGGTCACGGGTTTGATTGCTGGTAAAGAGCAGGTACCTGCGTTGCAGGTTCGATCCCGTCCCGGGTCGGGCTGTGTGTGGCAGGCGACCAATTGATGGTTCTCTCTTTGCCCCTCCCTCCCTCCTTCCCACTCTCTCTAAAAATAAATGGGAAAAATAAAAAATAAAATCCTCAGGTGAGGATTAACGCCACAAAAATAACTGAAAAAGAAAAAGGGCACACCTAAGCACCAGGGCTCAACCCTGTTAGTGACCCTGAGGGATTATGTAGAATATCCACCAACTTTCATCCCTCAGTCCGGGGTCGCTTGCATGGGCATTATTTCCTGGCATGGTTGGCCTACTCTGCAAGGCTCCCATTTCCAGACAACACCCCTGGGCAGACAGAAGCTCTTGTCATGTGAGCCAGCTGCACAAAGCAAGCTTCTTGGGGTTGTCTGCAGGGACACAGAAGCGGCCCCTTGTTTGTCCTGGTCACTTTCTCAGTGCTGCTCACCTAGACGGCTCTATTTAAAATTGGAAGCCACACCTCGCAGAGGCCTGACCTTCCCGGTTTTTTTCCACTGCACACATCCCTTTACAACTTATCATACATTGTTTTTTTTGCTCATCTTCCCTCCAACTCTTTGTTCACTCATGTGTATCCCAATTCCTGAGCAATGCCGCCAGAGTAGGCCCTCTGAAAATATTGAATGAGTGCATCAAAAATCTGAGAGAAACCTGGCTTTTTGACATTTAGTGGGAAAACTAGATAACTTCTGTTAGCTTCCAGAGTTGTAAAACTATTGTGAAAGTATCTCCTTTTACAAATATGTATTATGGGGACAATAACTCAGATTCCTTGATGTCCAGGACCTGTCTTTTCTAATATATTTTGCTGATTCTTACTACTTCCAAAGTATTATGATTCCTACATACACTTTATTACAATGCCCTATAATACCCTTTTCAAGGTGCCTTCACATATATTCTCATTTGACAGTTGCAGTAACTGTGATGTAGACAATACTAGAATTATTCCCTTTGTTGAGAAGCTAAGTAATTTTCCAATTTCCTTTTGAATTCAGACGGATGGTTTTTCAATCCTTTTTCTCTCATGCTCTCCCCTTGACAATGATACTCATTTTTACCAGTTTTTAAAAGTGCTGAATGTACCTACCTATGACTTGGGGATTAAGTCTTGATTTCTATGGCATTTTGGAGGTCTCATTTTCTAGAAAAGTAGGTTTTCTTCTTTGTCCCGTTTAATTTTACTTAAAGTCTCAAAAGGGCTCAAATTTTGAATTACTAAACTGTTTAGAAACATTGAAGAAAGCTAACTTGTGTATAAGAGATTTCCTGTTATAGGAAATCCATCTTTTTTTGTGTGCATATATTGACAACTGTCACGTCATAATGAGCAAGCACGAAAAAGGACAGTTTTGGATGAAGAGGGCTGACCTCTAGTTAGGGAACTTTTTTCCTGCCAAGGGCCATTTGGATATTTGTAACATCACTTGTGGGCCATACGAATTATCATCTTAAAAATTAGCCTGCTGTATTTGGTCAAACATTTAATTAACTCACCCCTAATGCCTTGGCAGGGCCAGACCCCACCCGAGTTACAGGAACCTATACTGATGCAAGCATAAACAGACCAACCAGCCAGACTCATAAGTGAACCAGTTCCACAGTGACTGGGACCCAATTCCCGGATTCTCCCACATGAGAGGAATCACTTAATGGCTGTCATGAAAACAAAACTCAGAGCTCCCCCACTGCTATTCCACTGTCGGCATGTGCAGTCATAATCATACTCAAAATAAACTTTGCCAAGAATCAGATTTAGTGTGTAAGGGCCAATGAGCTCAGAAATGAGACTGGTGGGTGCAGACAAGGAAGGTCAGCTGGAGATGAAAAGGGCCCAGGTCTGCACTTTAGGCTACATGTTTCTAAATGTCTGCTACAGTTGGCCAAGTAGGCATTAGCACCGGAAATCAACTGTGAAAGACTAACTCAGAGCATTCTTGCACAGTTCAGTATTTCCATGTGAACAATTTTAAGTGGAGACTGAGTCAGGGACAAAGGCAAAACATGGCAGACTGCTGCATCTGTGGTCCCCAGGGAACCAGTATTCATGCCTTGGTGTTGAATCTGGGCTTGGCCATGTGACTTGCTTTGGTCAAGGGGACATTAATTAGCCAGCATGGTGAGTACAGAGGCTTGATAAGCACTTTGCACCTTGGAGCTTGTCTTCTTGGAAAAAAGTCTAAGCACCCTGCGATAGCCATGCTGTGCAGACATCAGCAAGGCCACGGAGAAGCAATGAGGTCCCACATATGTACAATGAAGCTTCTTGGATCTTCCAGACCAGGTACCGGCCACCAGCAAAATGCAGTGGAGTAACTCCAGGTGGTGCTATTTGGAAAAGAAGAACCACCCACTTTGTGAAATAAAAAAACCAAAACAAACAAACAAAAAAACAACAACCCCAAAAAACTAAAAAAGAAAAGAACCACCCAGCCCAGCCAGCCCTCTCACAGCCCAGCCCACGGAAGCAGGGGAAATCATAAATCACTGTTGTTTTAAGTCACACATGATGGAGTGTTTGTTTTTTTTTTTTTTTAAAGAAAGCAAGAATTTGACTGCAGCAAAAAACTACTTAGATAAAAAACAAGGAAGGGCACAAAAGAAGCAACAGGAGAGTGTAGGCTGGGCTGCTCTGGTTCACTGGGAAGTCAGAGAAAAGGGAGCCTTAGCCAGGGCAAGCTGTCCACTGCTCCCATCGCATTTCATGAGGCCCGTAGTACAGTGATGGTGAACCTTTTGAGCTCGGCGTGTCAGCATTTTGAAAAACCCTAACTTAACTCTGGTGCCGTGTCACATATAGAAATTTTTTGATCTTTGCAACCATAGTAAAACAAAGATTTATATTTTTGATACTTATTTTATATATTTAAATGCCATTTAACAAAGAAAAATCAACCAAAAAAATGAGTTTGCGGGTCATAGGTTCGCCATCACTGCCTTAGGGGTTCAGGAATACCTGCCTGTGAGGGGAGGAGAGGGGGAAGGGAACGGCAGGGCATGCTCCCTGGAGGGAGAGCACCATGAAGTGTTTTAATGGAGTTGTTGACTTTAATGCAGCAGTAAGTGCGACACAGGATTTATAAGAGAAAGGGAAGAAAACTGCATTCTGGGGAGAGTAAATTTTGTTTGTATACTTTTGGGGCAGACTGATTAACTGGCACCTAGCACTGAGGTCAGGATGAAATTCTGTCCTTGGCAAGTTCTCTAGGGTACTGAAGAAAACTATTTTTGTTGTTTACTAATTCTCAAGACAATTTTGAGGGTTTACTTACAGAGCATACTTGTATAATGTTTGCAGTGTCCTTTTGATGATCACCTTTGACCTTGTTAGTTCTGGTTTGTACAATTTCCCTTATTGGAATGTTAAAGAAGAAAATGCAGAGATTGGGAAAGACCAACTCTGGAGTGGGCCGAGAAGGTCTGCAGTCCCTCCCCCCACAGCTTTTCCCCTCATTTAAAAACAGCATCTGTGGCATCAGCAGTCTATCCAGCCCATCAGTCAACAAGTCAGGGTTACCTAAACCTGGAATGCCCCAAGAAGGCTCAGGCCCTCACAGGCAACCCTAGGGCCCAAGTTCCACACGTGGCATTGCACTAAGAACCAGGTGCGAAGGGGCCCTGGAGCTAGGGGCCTGGATATGCGAGCTGCTTAGTGGGGCCAAGTGGTCTATGGAAATAGGACCTCCCTGAAAGGCGGGAGTAGGAAGGCGATAAAGACGAAGGAGAGGTTACCTGGTGACAGAGAGATACAGAGGAAATGGAATTAAGAGCTGAAATACTTACGTTACTGACTCACCAAAGTGAAACAGAATTAAACTTTATTTATCGGGAAGACGGTGACTCCATCACTGGTGACGACAGCTCTGGGGCTGCACTTTCTCCTCAGTGGGGTGGGGCGGGGTGGGGCGGGCTGTGCTGGGCAGGGGCTGCGGTGGTTTTGGATCTGGATCGATGAGCAGAGTTAGAGTTTTCTAAGACTGTGGCACCTGTCACACCGACCCAGAACTCACCTGTGTCCTATTCAGCTCTCCGTCCCCAATCCATCCCTATTCCCGTGGGATATCCCACATTTTTGTCCATTTCTTACCTGATTGGCTCCCTAGCTGGGCCTCAGGCAGGTCTCCCCAGAGAACATGTGCAGGATCATTGAGGAACCGTTGGCTGCGCTGGCATGTTAGGCAGGTCTGTACTGTCCAGCGCTGTCCCTTGCAGCCTGGGGTGAAAGTGGGGAAATGGAAAAGAGTGCCTGGGTTACAAGAAAAGGTCTCTTGCATCCAGGTTTGTCTCCATTGTTTTCTAGTAGGAATTCCACCTGCTCCCCACTTTCAATGAAGATTTGATAGTGTGAGTCCCCTGCATAAACTATCAATTTCTTTTTAAAAAAAAATCCTCACCCGACGATATTTTTTCCATTGATCTTTAGAGGGAGTGGGAGGGAGGGAGGAGGAGGAGGAAAGAGAGTCATTGACCAGTTGCCCCCAGCATGTGCCCCGACGGGGCTGGGGATCACACCTGCAGCCAAGGTATGTGCCCTTGACTGGGAATGGAAGCTGAGACCCTTCAGTCTACAGGCCAATGCTCCAATCACTGTCAAACTGCCCAGAGCTAAACTATCAATTTCTTGGTACTTTTTTTTTTTTAAGTCTTCACCAGAGGATATTTTTTCCCATTGATTTTTAGAGAGTGTGGAAGGGAGGGGGAGAGATAGAGAGAGAGAAACATCGATGTAAGAGAGACACCTCGACTGGATGCCTCCCATACGAGTCCTGATGGGGGCTGGGATAGAACCTGCAGCCCTCCAGCCCGAGGTCCGAGACTCTAACCACTGAGCAGAATGGGCTAGGGCCTCGGTATGCTTTAAGGTAAAGCCCAAACCCCTTTACAAGACAAGATCTGCCCTGTTTCCTTCTCCAGCCTCGGGTCTTGTGCACTTTAAACTCCAGCCTCCTAAACTCTTGCGTTTTATCCTCAGCCAAGGATATTTTTTCCACTGATTTTTAGAGAGTGGAAGGGGGGGGGCATTTATGTGAGAGAGATGCATCTATTGGCTGTATCCTGCACCCACCCCAACTGGGGCGGGAACCTGCAACCCAGGTACATGCCCTTGACCGGACCGAGAGGCTTTAGACGCTCTCACCGCTGAGCCACCAGCCAGTGCTCCTTTAGGTGACAGCACGTGCCCCACAAGCTCTCCTCAGTCAGCACCCAGGCCGAGAATTCCCATCCCCTTCTGCCTCAGCACCACTGGCAGAAGTAACAGCACTGCACTCCTCCAGTGAAGGCATTTCCTCACAGCCGCAAGGATTTTTAAAATATGCAGTACCTGATCCGCCAGGGCGCTGACCTCTTTCCCTTATTGTCAAATCAGGCGGCTCAGGCACAAACGGCCGCGGGTCCGCTTCCGGGTCAGGGCACCGGCCTAGGTCCCGGGCACCTCGTCTGGGCGCCGGAGGCAACTGAGGCAGCTTCCCTCCCCCTCCCTCTCCCGTCAGTCAACGCGTCCTCGGGTCTGCGGCGAATGAACCAAAATTATTCCTACTTCTTTTTGTCAGCCGAAAATAGATTTGTTGGTGTGCTGCAGAATTTCAGTCATCAGTTTGTGTGTGCCATGAGATGAAAAGGGTTAAAAACCGCTGTCCTGCACTGTTCCCATTGCTCCTTTCTCAGCCGCCCCTTCCCGGGAACAATGAACCCCGCGGGGCGCCCGGCACACCGAGGAAGGCAAGTACGGGAGGGCGCGTCCCGCACAACGCCCGGGGACTGCAGTCCGCACGCACGGGCGAGGCTGCCCTCGCGGCCCGAGGGTGACCTCCGAGCGGACCCTGCGCGCAGACCGTCTACCGCGAGGCAGGGCCGCTCGCCCCCGCGCGCCGCCTCCCGCCGCGCGCCGCCTCCCGCCGCCACGGGTGCACTCACGTCTCTGGCCTGGGATGAGGAGAGACGAGCAGCCACGACAGAGGGTCCTCTTCACCGACGGGTCCCTGCGGGCGGAGGGAAGAGGGAGGGGAGGGGTTCGCGCGCCCGCTCCCCGCTCCCCGCTCCCCGCTCCCCGCCTCCGGCCGGCGCCTCACCGCCGCAGGACCAGCCGCCGGGCCACGGTCCTCTCCGTGTGGCAGTAGAACCTCGCCAGCGCCTGGTTCTCGGGGTCCTGCGCGAGGACGCAGTGGGCGGCCTACGGGAGAGGCGGTCACGCGGAGTCGGCGGCGCCGGGCGCCCTGCCCGAGCGCCCCTACTCGGACTCACCTGGTACAGGAAGCTAAGCCTCTGGAAGGCCTCGCGGTCCTTCACCTGCCCCGCCATCCGGGCCCCGCGAACGCCGGGAACACGCTGGTCCCTAGGCCCCGCCCCTCAGATAGGTCCGCCCCGGCGTCAGCGCAAGGCCTCCTGGGAAATGTAGTTCCAGGCCCGAGAGGCACCACCCTGCGGCCTCAGAGATCCATCTGTTTGAATTGCATTCTAAGCCACGGTCCCTTTGTGAGTCCTGGCTTCCTTCTATCTTCAAGCCCATCACTAGCTATACTCGGTAGAGACTGGAGAGGCTGGTGGAACAGGAGAGAATCTCAAACTGCTATACATTTTCAGGACAGAAGACGGGTCTCTCTGCAGCTAGGTTGGAGGGATGGTTCTGTGCAATTTATAGCCAGATAGACCTTCTGCACTACTCTTTGAAGCCAAAGGTGAGTGCCTGGAAGATGTACAGATAGAAGGCACAGAGGTTATACCACTGGTGCCAGTGGGAGTGAAATTGGAAAGGATCATGAGTGGTGGAGGGGAGGAACAGGGTTCTGGCCCTCAGCACAACTCTCTTCCCCTGAACCCCCCCCCCCCCCCCCCCCCCACCCCCCCGCCCCACACACACACACATGTCCTGTCACACAGTTCTAAACAGACACTAACTCCTAGTCTTAGGTACTGGAGCACAGAGAGATGACAGCATCTCCTGCTCTGAAACCACCCCCACCCCCAACACAGGGAGACATGGACCATAGTTCCTCCCTCTGACCTGCCTCCAATTTGTTCTGTTTGGCATCCTGTTTCACCTCTGCTTCATATTAATGACCAATTCCTTGAGGTCAGAGTAGAGAGATGGAGGCGGAGAACATGGATGAACCCTGAGACGGGGAGAGGGCAGCCTAAGTTACAGGAGGGTGAGGCCTCTCTCCCCTCTCAAACCCCATCAGGCTGGGTAGGGGACCAGGCCTCCAGCTCAGATGAAGTGGCTGAAACCTCTTCACAAGTGTTTTACAAGTATCCCCAGACTCAAATGAAAGGAATATGCCTACAATGTAGATGCCCAGGCCCACAGACCTTCATCAGTCACTCGGGATGAGCCCAGGAACATGCATTTTTAACACCCAGTGATTCTGACACATCGGCAGTGGCGGCCATCAAATCACCACACAGCAGAGATCACGTGAGTGGATCCTTTGTTCCATATTGTTTACCAACCAAAGCATCTTGCCACAAAGAACCACAGTCAAGGCACAAAGGTAAGAGGAGAATCTGGACAGAGTCCTGTTGAGGTGGTTGGAGGAACTGAAATGCCCTCACTAACCTTCTGTGAACCCCATTACCTGAACAGCAGATGGCTCAAGTCGTGTCGATTTGGTCTGGCATGCATCGCTTTACCTCTTTTGACATGTACCCTACGGATTATTTTGGCCGAACATTAAATGACGTACATTCTCTGATGGGGAAATGGCAAACGGTGAGGGATGGCAGCCAACAAGCAAAGACTGGCTCTGGGAACACTAGTTCCAGGCCAGGTGTGTGCAGGCACAAGGAAGCTGCCAATCTGGTCCTTCCCTACACACACCACCCTCTTCTACCCTTTCCTCAGGGTGAGGAAGACTCTATTCCCTCTCTCCTTTTCTGGCTTAGACACTTGATCCAGGTAAGAAAGCTGACAACTTGGGAGTAACTATTTAGTAACATTCCTTAAGGCAAGAGCTTTGGATAGAAATATTGTTCTCTTTCCGCCAATACCGGACTCTCGCCTTCCCAAATTCCCTTGGGAAAGCAGTAAAAGGGCAGACTGTCTTGCAGGATCTCTGGCAACTCATCCCTGAAGAACAATGTGACCAACTTCTCAGAGACGATCGACTCTAAGGAGGCAGGCAATAAGCCAGCTCTGCTGAAGGCTGAGACAGGAGCCTGGGTCCTCCGCTTCCTCCTTCTCACCCTCTCCTCCCCACGTTGCTACCTCTGGCCAAGCCACCTCATAATGGCAGCCTTACTCTGGGAATAGATGACCAGAGAAACCCCCCTCCTTCATTAGAACCTAGGGATCTGCTCCTGTAGCCCCTTCCTGGACCTTCTTTCTAACCTCTTGATGCCCAATCTTTGCCCACAAAAAAATCTTTGCTCTTGTGGGTCCTCAACTCCTAGATCCATGAGAGCAACTGTCATTCATTTTTATTTCAATCTAGAGGTTTACGTGCCTCTATGCTCTTCCTCAAGAAACATAACTATTCTGCGTCAGAGCCCCCTAAAAAATGCACAGGGGCTTCTGTTTCCTCCTCTGGTTTGAGTATGTCATACCCTCCCACAGACTTTTTGCTTCTGGAAAAGCCCCTCCTCCCTTCCCAACCCATCCTGTGCAATAGAAAACCTGATGAGCTTCAGGGGAGAGTCCCTGGGAACCTACTCCCCACTCGACAGGAGGAGACATAGCTGTGCTCTCACTCCAGACCAGTCCTACCTACGCTTCCACATAAACCACTCTAGAAACCCAGGCGCTTCTCCCAGATGGTTCAGGGTGGGAACAGGCAGACGCGAAGCTGCTCCAGCAGGTCACGGGAAGGAAGGCCCATAGCTCTTGATCCTGCCTCATCCCTCCCTGTCACTCCCAATCTGTCGGGGGCCTGATGGTAAGTGGTGCAGCATTCTTCCTTCCAGCCCGGATGCCTGGGTAGAAGAGGGGCCATAGTTTCTCAGTAAAAGTATCAGTGAAGGTGTAGATATGGGAGCGGTCTGTGACATTGTAAAAAGACAGTGTGCCGGCCTCATAGTCTAGGAATATGCCCACCCGCTTGGGTTTCACCTTGATGTGCAAAGGAGTAAAAGGCGTGGTAGTGGCTGCATATTTGTCTCCGTTCCACAGTCGCACCCGCCAGTAGCCAGTCTCAGGCAGTGGGGTCAGCTCGCCCTTTCGGCTCACAGAGTCCCGGCACACACCCACTGCCCAGTGGGTCTTGTCGCCCACCTCCACCTCCCAGTAGTGTCGGCCTGAGGTGAAGCCCTCAGTAGCCAGGACGCAAGGGTAGAAGGTGAAGCGCCGTGGTGTGTCAGGTAGGTCCCGGAGTCTTGTCTCCACAAACTTGACGCTCTTACGATCCTCCGACAGGACTAGGTTAGGATGAGCAGTCTCAGGGTCCAGGGTCACATCCGCTGGCGGGAGAAGCCAGAGTGGGGAGCTAGATGAGGATGGGAATAGCTCAACGCCCCTGCCTCAGTCTTCCAGCCTGCCTTACAGAGCCTGTTCCCTTAAAGGCCCCCAGAACACTGTGATTTGGTTAACTTTCTCCATCCATGGTGTCACCTAAGGGAGGGGAGGGAATACTGCTTCACGTCTCACCCGCCCTAAAGAAGCAGGTGACTAACTCGCTCTTGCCTTTGCAAGGGCTGGTGGGTTAGGCTCCTCCTGCCTGGTCCTCCATCCACAGCCCTCGACATAATCATCATCTCACGGTGCAGAGAAGCACCAGGCACAGTTCAAGGGCCAGAAAGAATGGAAAGCGTATGTGAAGAAGGATACAGAGAAGACACCATTGTCGGGTCTAGGGGCAGGGTGACCTGATACCCATTTTCTTGGAACTGTCCTGGTTTATGACTATTTTCTCTGAGTAAAAATGAATGATATTCCCTTCACTCTCTAGAGTGGACCAATTTTAGGCAAATTATTTAACCTTTCTGGGCCCCTGTTCAGAAAAGCGTGGGCCTAAGATTAGACGACAGCGAGGCTTTTCACTGCGAGTTCTGTGACTCAGAGTGACCGAAAGCCAGGGAAAGGGCTGGGTGTGGGTGTGGGCGGGGAAAGTGACAGACAGGGTAACTGAAGCCCACGTAAAGACTTGCTGCTCTCTGCTGACTCCCTCTGCTCTTTTCCTTTTGGGAACAACTCACCAATTAGCTGTTTAAGGATTTTCCTTAGGGCAAAGTACTGTCGGGGGAAACTGCTGAAGTTCTTTTCAAGCTGTATGGATACTGAAGTCACCTCCATGGTCTTCACCTCTTCACATCTAGGAGGGGCAGGGAGACAGGGGAAGAAAGGGCAGGTCACAGGGAAGCTCCATCCTCCCACCTCCTCCCTCCTCCCTGAGGACAAGCACTTGTGTATTGCTTTCTTTTGCCAATCTGTGGAGAGCCATATGGTCCCCTGGACAAATCCTTAAAATGAGCCTCAGAACTTTCTGGAGGTATTTGTTATATTTCATGCATATGGGTAATTACCCTTCCCCCTCCCAACCCTTTCCTTCTTCCATCTTGTTTGGACACAATTCTACATCCAGGCACAGGTAGAACCTGGTTCTACATGATTTTGGTAGCTTCCTTAACAAGGAAGTCCTGATGCTCAAAGGGCTACTATTCCCCATGATTTGCTCTCTAACTGGCTTCATGGATGCAATAACCCTTTCCCATATCCGACCCAGAAGCTGCATGACTTTCCCATCTTATTCCCCCAACTCCTTACTGTACTGTAAGTCTCTAAGCCAAGATCTAACTCACTTAAAGAGTTGCAGGAATCACTTACTTTTCCAGGGTACTTTTGACATCCTAGAGGGAAGGAGAAAAGAAAGCAGTATTGGTCCTGGTAGTCAAGGGTCCTACAGGCAAAAGGGTCCCCCTCCTCCCAAAAGTTCCAGATCTCTAAAACAGAAACAGGGCAAACGGAGGCTACAATGCAAGGAGAAGAGCTCCAGAGGGGTCTGAGTACATCTCTCCCAACTTCCTCCTCACTTTCAACTTCTGGTCATCACGAAGCTTGGCAATTTCTATTCCTTCCAAATGGTTTCTTGTATGTTTGTCTTTGCTCCTCAAGGACACTGGGAGCTCAATGCAGGCTGCAGGGATTGTGTCTGCTCTTCACTCTGTCCCCCAAGTACCAACCACAACACCTGTCTCCTTGAGGATCAGTGCAGATAGCTCCAGACTGGTGGTAGAGGAGTAGGTCCTACTTCCCACTATGGGTTGGTATCCCCCGTTTGGTATTGGTTCATAAACACTAATAACTGTGTGCCAATCCTGATTTGCGAATACTTGGGGTCCAGAAGACAAAGAAGACAAATCTCTGCCCCCAGGATTTCCCAGTTTAATGTGGAAGGCAGAACACACATACATGAAAGGACATGAGAATAAACACCAATAAACATAAGCATGCAGATCAATGTGCAACGGCGCCTCGCTGGGTCCAATGCTGCTAGTCTGATCTCTAAGGTAAGAAACATGTTTCCTACAGCCTTCTAACACCATGCATCTCCTTAAGAAAACAAATGATTTCAAACATTTTTGAGATGTTTACATATCAAAAACAATGTATTTTTTAATACATTTTAAGTGTCCTTCAAACTAGGTTTCTATTGTTTTTTTTAAAAAAATATGTTTTTATTGATTTTGAGGAAGGGAAAGGGAGAGAGAGAAATATCAATGTTGAGAGAGAAACATCAATTGGCTGCCTCCTGCATGCGTCCTACTGGGGATTGAGCCCACAACCTGGGTATTGCCCTGACCAGGAATCGATCCATGACTTCCTGGATCATAGGTCGATGCTTAACCACTGAGCTACACCAGCGGGGCGGTTTCTATTCTTTTTTAGCACTAGGTAAATCAAATTCTAGGACTTCAAAGTAACTGCATTTACACACTTTTTTAATGCATAGTTTTTTCCCCCCACAAATTCAGACTAGATTTCCCTCCTCTCAAAAGAGTGGATTTTTTCTTTGGTACAAATTACGCACATAATTGTTGACAAGACATAAGAACACAAAAATGATTAGAAGGAAATGGGAGAAATCAGAGGAGCTTTTCTGTAGAAATAGATCCTTTGATTATGTCTAGAAGAAAGAACTGGGTTTAAAGAAGCAGAGCAGAGGAGTGAGCATTCCGGGCTGACAAAACAGCCTGTGCAAAGCTAGACTGTGCCCGACCTGAGGGGCCACGCAGGAGCAAGGGTCGAACCTTAAGCATCTCGAAGCCCGACTGCAAGCACTTGCCCTCCACCTCAGCAGCCAGGTGGGCCAGGTCGCGGCGTCTGTCTCCTAGGTGCGCAGCATTTTCTCGGAGGCGCTGCAGAATGTCCTGCTCCTCCTCCTCCAGTCGCGACAGCAACGTCTGCTGCTCTTCATCCAGCCGCCTGTGCAGCTCTTCAAATTCCGTTAGGATCTGCTGTCGGCGACTCTCCACCAGTCTCTGAGAAAAGAGGGAGAGTGCTGCTTATTGAGCAGGGCCAGTGGGCACAGCGTCCCTTTCCCTACCGACCATGCTTATGAATTCCAGTGTCATTACAGTTTAATGGGACACTTGTTTCTCTCCACTGTCAGTTCCTTCTATAAAGAATAGCTCTATCCCGCTGAGGACTTGGGAATGAAGACCAGTGGGAAGATAAAAATCAATGTTTAAAAGTTTCAATTTTCTTAAATTACATTAATTTCTAAAAAGCCATGCTTTTATGTTTTAGGAAAAATAATTCAAGACATAAGAACTCAATAATATAATGACAAACTATCTCAGATATCAGAAATATCTGATGATAAAGTTCTAGCTATTGTAATTCGTTAAGAAAGGAAAATACAGCCCCAGCCAGTTTGGCTCAGCAGATAGAGCGTGTCGACCTGTGGACTGAAGGCTGCCGGTTTGATTCTAGTCAAGGGCCCCTAGTAGGAGCGTGCAGGAGGCAGCCAGTCAATTATTTTTTCTCATCACTGATGTTTCTCTCTCTCTCCCCGTCCTTCCTCTCTGAAATAAAAAAAATATTTAAAAAAAATAAAGAAAAGAAAAATACAAATACTGGCAAGTTAAGCAATATGACTGTCATCATTTGTATGTTGCAAGATAGCTACCTGATAAAAACATGATCAGATAGAATTAACTGAAGAAGAATCAGTAAGATTCTAGCAATGGGCTGTAACAAATACATAGATTTCAGGGCTGAACCTGAAACAGTTTCAAGTCATTTCTGAGACTTGGTAATTGCCATCCCAGGAACAGGTTTCAAAGTTTCTTAGTAAATGAGTTGCTTAAAATTTGAAACACGCTTTCTCTCAGTCAGCATATAGACTTGAACCTTTCGCATTCCGGGAACTTGCTAATATAGGGTTCAAACACCAGCCACAATCCTTTCTGAGGGTTATCAGCAAGCACATCCCACCTCTGGACTTCCACTGCAACGAGAAGCGATCTCCCCAAGAAGGCTTCTCGCCGCGTCATGTGGCTGGCGGGGAGCGAAGTGAGCAGCAGAGACAGGACTGTGGAAGGAGGGAGTGGCCGGGACTGAAAGGCAGGGCTGTGGTGACTGGAGTGGCCCTGGAGCCTGGGTGGCCTCCCAGGCCTGCTGCCAGGAGAGGCTGATGAGCTCCCGTGGGGTAGCAGCCGCTGCTCCCATTTCACTGCTGCCCTTGCAGAACCACATGGAACAAAACACATTCCCACGCCCTGGCCCGTTTGGCTCAGTGGACAGAGCATCGGCCTGCAGACTGAAGGGTTCCGGGTTCGATTCCGGTCCAGATTGTGGGCTCGATTCCCAGAGGGGGCGTGCAGGAGGCAGCCAATCAATGATTCTCTCTCATCATTGATGTTTCTATCTCTCTCGCCCTCTCCCTTCCTCTCTCTGAAATCAATAAAAATATCTTAAAAAAACTCCACAAAAAACCCCACATTCCCACAACACATACCTTCACATAAAGCACAGCCTGGGTGTGTGTTTAGGGGTGATGAATGGGTGGAATTTAGAATTCATAACTGATAAACAGGTAGCAAAATAGTTCTTCATAGAACCCCATAGTCCCTTCTCTTTTTTCACTCTGTATTTGCAGTGCAGTGGTTCTTAAAGAGGGTGTGAAATTATATTTGGAGTATCATTTTGAGATATTATGTCACCAAGAGCTAAGTGCTTGTGGTATTTGAGTCAACATGGCTCACAATGACCTCAGTCTGAATTTGCATTTGTGGCACTGTTGTGATATCACGTAGGTGAAAGGACAAAGCTATACTGCAGTGTCTTTCAGGGTACTCATGTTTAAATATTACACAGCAGCTTTCATTACACGTCACTTTTCTTTTGTTGTGTTATATTATACTATACTAGTCGCCCATCGCGCGATATCGCACACAGTAGGCCGCCCGCCGCTTCCGTGGGAGCCGGAGGGAACCGCTGTGCGCCGCTGGAAGCCGCGCTGCTTCCATGGGAGCCATGTGGCTTCTGCAGGAGGCGGAAGCCAGCCTCTGGCGCCCATGGGAGCCGGGAGGGAGCCAGGAGGGAGCTGAGCTGCTTCCGCGGGAGGCGGGCCCACCGTCTCCTCTCCCGGCCTGTGCTCGGCCACAGAGACTGTGGGCCGGCCCCCCTGTCCCTGTCTGTGTCTGCTCCGGCTCCGGGGGCCAGCCCGAGCCGGGGTGCGGCAGCTTGTTGGCCCGGTCTCTGTCTCCGTCTCCGCTCTGGGCCTCACCTGCCCGCTCAACCTCCTCCAGTCTGGTTGTGAACCGTTATGGCGTCCCGGCCTAATCTGCATGACAGTTTCTTTTTAAAATTATGTAGATAGATTATTTTATGAATAATTATCATTTCAGCATGGTTAATTACAAATTATTATTATTATTTCTTTAATCTTATTGTTGAGATTATCACAGATGTCCCTCTTTGTTCCTCCACCCGGGTCCCACCCCACCCCAGGCCTTCGTCACCCTCACACATTAGTTTTAAAAGGGCTTTGGGTCATCTCGGAGGGGAGGCAAGGGAGGGTGGGTGGGTGGGAGGTAATCAATCAAAGACCTTGTATGCATATATGCATAACCCATGGGCACAGACAGTGGGGTGGTGAGGGCCTGGGGTGGAGGCCATGGGTGGGTTGGAGGGGGTCGATGGGGGAAAAAGGGGAACATATGTAATAGTTTCAACAATAAATATTTAAAAAATAAAATAAAATAAAAGGGCACTGGGTCTGATTCTGGAGGTGGAGATGAGGGAGGAGGAAGGAGAACTCAAATGGTCACTACAGAAAGGTTGATGACCTGCCCAGTTGCTCAGTGGTTAGTGTTGGCCCATGGACTGAAGGGTTGAGGGCATGTACCTTGGTGTTGGGTTTGATCATGCAGTTTTGGGTTTGATTGTGTGGGAGGCAACCAATCAATGTGTCTCTCTCATCTCGTTTCTCTCTCTCTCTCTCTTCCCCCCACTCCTTCCCTTCCACTCTGTCGGAAAATCAATAGAAAAAATATCCTCAGGTGAGAATTTAAGAAAAAGAAAGGCTAGTGATAGTTTCTGAAACCACTGAAATGGTAGCTTACATCTGTAAAAACCACAGTTCTGTTTATGTATTTAGAAGGTTTTAAAATTTTTGTTCCCCTCTCGATCCTTTACCTTTAGGAAGAGGATCAACAGGAAGAGGGAAGTTAATGACTGGGAAGAAGCTTCGTTTTCACCTATTTTAAGTTTCTCTGGAGCCTTTCAAAAGATCAAAGAACGTTTTAAAAATATATTTTTATTGATTTCAGAGAGGAAGGGAGAGGGAGAGAGATAGAAACATGAGAGAATCACTAATCGGCTGCCTCCTGCACGCCCCCTGTTGGGGATTGAGCCCACAACCCAGGCATGTGCCCTTGACAGGAATCAAACCTGGGACCCTTCAATCTGCAGACTGATGCTCTATCCCCTGAGTCAAACCAGTTAGGGCAAGAATTTTTTTTTAAATCCACCTTTGCAATCAAAATTAGTTCAATTAAAAAAAATTTCAGCCCCGCTGGTGTGTTCAGTGGTTAGAGCATCATTGGCCCACACACTGAAGGGTTTCGAGTTTGATTCCCAGTCAAGGGCACATACCTGGGTTGCAGGTTTGATCTCTGACCCTGGTTCGGGCGCTTGCGGGAGGCAATCAATCCATGTGTCTCTCTTACATTGATGTTTCTATCTCTCTCTCTCCTCCTCCTTCCCTCCCTCCCTTCCACTCTCTCTAAAAATCAATGGGAAAAATATCCTCAGGTAAGGTTTAACAACAACAAAAATCAAATGCTTGCTTTGTTAAAATGTATAAAGGACTAAGGTATCAATACTTGCTTTCTGTTGAAATGTCATTGTTAAGAAATTACTGTTTCTACTATTTTCAAATATGTGTTTAATTTCTGGTGATACCAAAAGCTCATTATTTCTTCTGGCATCCTTTAATGAGGTCAAATTTCTGTGTTGTCCCCTCGTGAACTGGCACCTATGCTTTTTATACCATGTCATTATTTTGCTACTTGACTGTAAGATCAAGAAGGGCAGGGCTGTTTCTGCTCATCATTGTTTCCCAGTGTCAAATACATGGTTTACCTATACTGGAAGCTTAAGAAATATTTATTGATTCATGCAGAACTAGTATCCCTAGCTTTGCTACAAACTGGTTGTGTGATCTTGGATTAGCCTTGGACTATCCAAGCTGTTCCCACCTGTGTACACTTGGGGCGGGGGTGTGTGTGTGTGACAGCTACCTTACGAGGAACTGAGTTCCCGCTTGCCAAAGATGACCGCTGGGACTTCTGGCTTCTCTATGTACCCCTTGTGCCAAGTCTAGTTGAATTCAGGATTCCAACCAGGGCAGAATCCTAAGACCTAATACAATTCTGTAAGCTTGGAATGTCATGAATATATAATGAATTAATGTACAGAATTCAATAAATACTAGTTATTACTGCTACTATTAATACTTATTCACTGACCATTAGAAGAAATAAGACAGAAACAAAAACACCATGCTGCAAACATGGTGATGCTCTGAAGGAGATGCAGGAATATATGAAAAGGAAGAAAGCTAAGTTCTGAAGGGTGGGGAAAAGCTGCACAGAAAGTGGCTTTCCCTCTGCCCGAGGACGGACAGGGTTCTGCAGGTAGAGGAAGGAAAGAGGAAGAGCATCCCGGAACACACCTGTCATTCCCGAGCTCACTGGAGTTAAGAGAATGTCATTGGACAGTTCTTCTGGGAGCTCTCGGTCAGTTCCTTCTCCCTTTCTCCCGAGTGAACCTTCCAAATTCTCCTCTCCTCCATCCCTCTAAGAAAGTCCTACCCCTGCACACTCAGCAGAGCAGCCTCCTTCCCTGCTGTACACAGCACAGGAGACCAACAGGCACGAACCCTCTGAACTCGCCAGATGTAAGACATTCCGCCTGTCCTTTACCTCTTCCAGCCTCCTCCTCAATACTTAATTCATGACAAGTAATGTAAGTACAATGTCTAAAGACAAATCAAGCCTAAGAAAATACCACCATTTCTAAGAGTATAGCATTTTTCTAATGAATCAGAACTGGTGGATTAAATAATGTGTTAATGCTTGGTTCACTGCCTGCCTTTACCTTGAGCTCTGCAGGCTTCTGCTCCTCTGAGGACTTACAGCGGGTGATCTCCTGCAGCTTCTGCTCCAGAGGCGCCAGGCACTTCTGCAGTTTTTCCTGAGGGTAGGAAGTGGGAGAGGTGGCATCTGGGATTGGCTGGCATAGCCTATATTCAGAGGTTAACCCATTTGTTTTAAACCATTTGTTTGCATCCTACCCATCTCACCAGCTCTTGAGCCAATTCCCTCCCTTGCCTGTCACTTGTGATGGTAACTTCTTACAGTTCTCTCTTCCTGCCACCAGCCTGTCTCTATCACCCTCCTTGCTCACCATTTTTTTTCCTATCTAGCAGAAGAGAAGATGTAAAATACCAATGTGGGACTAAATCTAGAATTAGGGTCTTACACGGGGGTAAATGTCCTCTCACTGAACCTCAGTGGTCCAGTGGTCACCAACCCCATCCACCTTCTAACTCAAGTAACTCCTATTACTGTAAAAGTGACCTTCTGGACCCTGATGTCCGTCTTTAAACTTGCATTTCCATTCAACTCTAACCACCTGCAAATATAATGAAATCTTACTTATAAACAACCTTAAATCTTATTTCCAAGACTAAAGGCCTGGTGCATGAAAATTCATGCACTGGAGGGGGCGTCCCTCAGCCGACCTGCCCCCTCTCACAGTCTGGGAGCCCTCAGGGGCGGGAGGCGACTCGGCATCACACCTCTGCTGCTGCCACTGCCGGCAGCACCTCGGCGGGCCCTGGTTACCTGAGCCTTGGGCGGCCAGGCAGCCGCCATCCGAGGCTTGCCTACACCTTGGGCGGCCCTGGGTGGCTGGGCAGCCGCCATCTGAGGCTTTCCTGTGCCTTAGGACGGCCCTGGGCGGCTGGGGGCTGAGGGGATTGGGGGACTCCGGAGGCAGGCATGCGGCTGAGGGGACTGGGTGCTGCTATCTTTGAGGGTGGGGTAGTCAATTAGCATATTCCCTCCTTATTGGCTGTGGGCGTGAGGGTCAATTAGCATATTCCTTCTTTATTAGGATTTTATTAACATAATTAATTAAACTACTTGATAAAGTGCTAAGACATTAGCAGCTCTAATTTCTATTACTCAAACATTTACTCTCTGTCCCAGCAATAATTTAAACCAGATGTCATGTTATCCATTATCTGGGGAAGATGCAAATAACAGACTGGTTCAGTCTAAACTGAAATGACAGTCTTCCCAGTGTACCAATGGGAAGGGAAAGGATACTCTGAGCAGGGTACAGAACGAGGAAACCAGACCACTTTTCAGTTCTTCCTAACGTGGATCTTCTCTATGTGTTCTCATTCATTATGAAAAATACTAGAGGCCCTCGGCCTGACCTGCATCCTCTTGCAATCCGGGACCCCTTGGGGGATGTCGGAGAGCCGGTTTTGGCCTGATCCCCGCAGGCCAGGCCGAGGGACCCCACTGGTGCATGAATTCGCACATTGGGCCTCTAGCATGCATATAAGATCTTTGCTTAATCTCTTTCTGCCCTCCCTCCTCCCCTTTGAGATTCATTAGTCTGTTCCATGTTTCCATGACTGTGTGTTGAACATCTGCCCCCCTGGTGGTCAGTGTGCATCATAGCTACCAGTTGAATGGTTGAACGGTGGTTTAGGTTTTTATATATAGAGAGTAGAAGCCTGGTGCCCGAAATTCATGCGGGGGGGGGGGGGGTGTCCCCTCAGCCCAACCTGCACTCTCTCCAACCCAGGACCCCTTGGAGACATCCCTCTTACAATCCTGGACCGCTGGCTCCTAATTTCTCACATGCCTGCCTGCCTGGTTGCCCCTAACTCCCCCCCCCCCCCACCGGCCTGATCGCCCCTCACTGCCACTGCATGCTGGCCTGATTGCCCCTAACTGCCCCCCCCCCCCTTGCCAGCCTGGTCGCTCCTAACTGCCCCCCGCTGCTGGCCAGGTCGCCCCCAACTGCCCCCTCCCTGCCAGCCTGGTTGCTCCTAACTGCCCTCCCTGCCGGCCTGGCAACTCTTACTGCCCCACCCTGCCGGCCTGGTCGCCCCCAACTGCCTAGTCGCCCCTCACTGCTCCCCCTGCCAGCCTAATCGCCCCCAACTGTCCCCCCTGCCGGTCTGGTCGCCCCCAACTGCCCCCCTTGCTGGCCTGGTTGCCCCCAACTGCCCTCCCCCCTGCCAGTCTGGTCGCCCCTCACTAACCCCCCTACTGGCCTGGTCGCTCCACGCAGCCTGCTTGTCCAGTCGTAGGCAACCATCTTGTGAGGGGATGAGGATTAATTTGCATATTACCTCTTTATTATATAGGATGTTATAGTCCAAGATCCCTCATGCTCAAATGTGTTAGAAAGGTCAGAGAGAAATTTTGGGGTACTCCTCACCACTGTTCTTCATGCTTGAGGATAACTGGGCAGATGTACTTTGTGTCCCCTGTGTATGCACCTTAGAGGGAACTACAGAGTGAGATCCAGACACAGTCTTGCTCTCAGGAGCTTACGATCCTCTACCTAGAGAGCCTCCCTCTACTGTATTCCTCCCTTTGCCCCACGTTGACTTCATGTGTCTGGTTCCCCACCTTGTACTCCTGTGTGGCGTCGTCCAGTGGTGCGACGTTGTGGGCCCGATGGGTGTGGGAAATTGCACATATCAAACATACAGCCTCCTGGTCCTCATAGCAGAAGAGGCTGAGGGCCTCATGATGCTGAGGGCAGAGGCTCTCATCCCGGATCTTCCGCTTGACAGCTTGGAGCTGCTTGGCAATTTCCACCATACTGCCTAGTTGACGATTAGGCCGGAGACTGCGGTACCGGGAGGTCTTTCGACAGACTGGACAAGGAAAGTCCCTCTCTAGGTCCTCCCACCAGCGGGTGATGCAAGCTTTTGCAGAAGTTGTGTCCTCACACTCAATGATGACAGGCTCCTTTC